AAAAAATTCAAATAATAATAGTATCTAAATTTAAGATTATTATTTATTAATAATAGAAGCTTTTGTAATATTAATATCATAAATAAATAATATTATAATATTATACTATATCTTTCTATATCAAAAAATTTCTTCTTTTTCATCAACAGAGACTGCTATATTACTAAATTACTCTGAGTCATGAAATTTATTAATTGCTTGAATAATATTAGTTAATTCTATATAAGTACTTGAATATATAGTTATCCTCCCATATAATTACATGATTTGTTTCATCCAAAATTGATGATTGTAAAGGAGTGTGATTATAATTATATTTCCTCCTATATAATCACATAAATTAGGTATAGTCATATGATGTGAGTGTATAAGAGTATAATTATATATTTTTATCATTATTATTCTTGTATCAAAAATTTTATTGCAATATTGACTATATTATATTACAACTAAAAATTCTAATTATTACTAGTAGTCTCTTGAATCTCTAATGAGCCAAAAAAATCCGTAATAGATTTTTATTTCTTTGCTTCAGCATTTTTTTCTCTATTAGAAGCAAGTATTTTCGAAATACCTTCAGGTTATCAGCATTAAAATCACTACTCATCTGCTGTTCAAAAAACATGATAAAATTTTTTAACTCAAGTAATATGTTTGAAGGTAGAATATTGTATAATTCCTCATCACTGTTATCAGGATCACCTTGCTTGTCTTCTAATTGCTCTGCCAGTATATTTTCAACAATTTAAGTATCATTGAGAGGTTCTTCAGTAGATATATTCATATTAGTGATTGTTATATAGTGTTATATTTCTTGTATAATGGTTAGATTTGTTTCTTTGCTTGTGAAATTACTTAGTAGTTCACCAATTTGACATTTCTCTTGTTCAGATGATTTTTGATATACATTCTTATCAAACTCAATCTTATCATTAGATACTAATAGCAAAATATCTGTCTTTTTCTAGCAATTCATGATTGTCAATTCTGCCATCTCATCTCACGATTCTGCTATGTAATTAATAGTCTCTTTGATATTGATCTTATTTCTAAATAGAAATAATAAATTTTATTAGTTGATAAATAAATTATAGTCAATAAATAGCTCTCATGTTTATGACATGGTATTTCTATAATAAAGCATAAAATACATATAGAAAGATTAACATGTTATAAAATATGAAATGCATACTAAAATAGTCATAAAATAATAATGAAATATATATACAAACTGTATTTCGCGTATTAAAATATGTGACTGAAATAGTAAAGTGAATATGAATATCACAATATATAATAATGAAATACATATACTGAAATACGTAACTGAAATAATAAATCAAAATATGTGCATGATAATAAAATACGCGTACCAGTCATATATTTCAAAATATACTGAATTGAGAAATAATAAAATCTCGTAATAAATACACGTGATCGAATATGAAATTTACAAAATATCCATGACGAAAATTATGTGATGAATATGTGTAATTAAATACAAAATTCATAACAAAGTCATACAATAAAATATGGAGAATTAAATAAAATAATGAAATACTGCACAATTAAATAGAGAAAACAGATTTAAACTGCTTACTTTTGGATATTCTCTCTATTTTCAAATTAATTTAATATACATTAGATATATTTTTCTTGGTATTTTGCCTTGAAACTTTTAATAATACCTATATCTATCAGTTGAAGATGTACCGTAGTATTGGAAGGCAAAAATTTGATCTTAATATTTGTTAGGTATTAATTGGACAGATCAGAAATTCTATATACACTTCCTTGACTTGTATCATGCTTGCCTTTGCTACCCCGTAAGATGGCATAATGATTATATTGTTGATCAACTTGGGTGATATTGCTTGATCTTGGATAGTCATAACCATGTCTATCTCGATGATTATTTATCATCCCCACAGTGAATGATTCCTCTTGATTACTATTACTAGACTCTTCATCTTCTTCCTATGAGTCTTGAAAATTGGATACATTATTATTCAGATTATAATGACTTGTCACATTATCAACTAAAAGCAGAATTTAGTGACTTTCAAGATGAAATTTATTGTCAAGTTTTTTTAATCATTTTCCAAAAATATTGCCCCACATTCATGCTTTTGCATTGGCATGATATATAACAGATAATATATTATGATTGATATGAGATAATATTTGTGGTTTAATTGAGAACCCAATAATAAGTGGCTAGAGTTTTTCAGTACCGATGGCATTAGAAGCCAACATGACTGCAATACATGTGCGATTCTAACAATATTAAAATTTAAATAATGAGAATACAAAATGATTTATCATTTTTATTGCTTACCTTTTTCTAACTAGAGCGAGATTAAGATGCCAAAGTTTGATTTGGCACCATACAAAAAAATAAACCAGTTTCATCTGCATTGAATATATTATCCAATGGATATTCTTGAATAATATCTTGCAATCTTTGTCTTGATTCAGGAAGCAATTCCATAGGTACACTTTTGGCTTCTCCATGTAATCAAAAATTTCACAAGTTATTATGCTTCTTGAATTTGAGTATCCACCCATTGGACAATTTGAAAGCATTATTAGGCAAAGAAAGAGCCTGAATAAAATAAGAAGCTTTTTCTTTGATTATTGCTTCAGTTAAAAACATTTCACCCTAAATAACTTGCTCAATCCATAATTATATAGATTGATCTAACAAAGGATATTTTACTCTCCTGTATTGGAAAATCTTAGCAATAGCTTGATTTTCAACCACAGCCAATCATCTGTCTTTGTTTTTTAAAATTTTAGACACAGTTGAATAGTCAAGATTTCTTTTTGAATCTTGATTATTAAAATATTCAGCAATTTGCTAGTGTGTTTGATTTGGATTTGTTAAAGAATATTAACAAATTGTATTTTTAAAGCTATCACTAATTACTGTGCTTGCTTTTTTGATCAGAGGTTGAATAGACATAATGACAAAGAAAATTTTTTTGACAAATGATCAATAAATAATACTGAATTACTATATATAAAAAAAAATTTTGATTAGTGATTAAATAAATAATACAATCATTTTAATACTAGTAATTTTTATTCTGCTAGTTAAATAATTATATAATTTATATTATATATATCATGTGACTTTGTAATTATATAGAGGGATAAATGCTAATTAAAAATTTTTTTCTATTGCTCTAAAGTATGATAGTAATTATAAGACAATTGTGACTATACAGGAGTATTTTAATTAATAAAAAATCAGATCCATAAAATTATGTGATTATATAGAATTTGTGATTATATGGGAAATGATTATATAGGAGGATGACTGTATTTTAAAATATGCAGACTCTTGATTATATAACTTATTATTTAAGCTAAAGAACTCTTCAAGTTCCATTTAAAAATTATTAAAGTCTTCTTGATATAATTGATAAATATCAATATTTTTCAAAACTATTTTATCTATTTCAGTTATTCATAATTCCCATAGAAGATTTCAAAAACCAGAATCTTTTTTAATAAATAATATTGATACTTTTTATACAGCTAAGGTCTTGTATTATATCTATAATAAAATATTAATAATGATAACTATTAGTATATATTAATAAATATTGATAAATATTAGTTTATTATTTTTATCATTTATATTATATAATTCTTTTTGTTAGACATCTGATATAGATTTTTAATATGTTCCTTATGAAAAGTCTTAAAGATCTCAGTAGATATTCCATTTATCACTCCATAATATTGGATTGCAGAAATAATATGATATTAAAGTACATGATTCTTAGGTATTTTACATTAGCTAGGAGAATAATCTGCAAATATATTCACAAATTCTTGATAGAAATTGATGATTAATATCTATTTATAAAATAGTAATCTGTATAACTATCATTATGTCTTATCATTATAGCTAAAGTAATATAATAAAGACTTAACTTATTTCTAGTTCAGTTAAATCATCATCAGTAAATGATTCTTGATGAGTTTTCATATATATTTCCATATACTTATGAAATATTTCATATAATCTCTCACATGAAACTTTACTATTCTTATATTTGACAAATAAATTATCAATTTTAATCTGATCAAAGCTGGAAGACAAGAGTTCAGACTATATTTAATGATCTTTTTGAAAATTATGATAATCAATCTGATAAATTGTAATTTATTAAATATTATTATTTTGAATAATTATTGAAAGAAATATCTAGATAATACTCTTGAAAATTAATGGAATTACAAAGAGAAATGGCATAGTCAAAAGAAATTACTTCAATCAGAAGATACTTTCTTCTTGGAAAATGAATTTACCAGTCATTAGAAAAATATGAACTTGAGAAAGTATACAACTTCCAATAAATTACTTATAATGATCTTGTATATATAAGAAATAAAAAAATTAAAGAAATTTTAAAAGGAATTTAATAGTCTCGCTGAAGCTTAATCTTACTTAGAGGGACCAAATATTATCATAATAATATAAATTTCCTTAATTTCATAATTTTTTGAACATAGAAAATTTGACTAATTAATTGATCTTTAGAAGATATATGATTTCAAATAATATAATTAGTATATTAATTATGAATTCAATCATGACTTAATAATATTTTTGCAATATTCTTGCAACATTTTTGCAACATTTTAAGATCATTAATAAATAATTAGTCTTAAAATCAATAACAATTTACAAATAGTTCAACAATGGTTCAGAAATACTTTAGAAATGGTTCAATAACAAATTTCATTTATTTTTATTTTTATCTTTTTCTTTTTATGATATATATATCTTATCTTTTCATTTTACTTTATTATTTATATCTTCTTATAACTTACTATATATATCTTATCTTTTATTTTTACTTGTTCATTTATTGATCTTTTGCCCCAAGATTTATAATTATAATCTAGAATAGCAAATGAGTTTAGATAAAAACTTGTAAAATCTCAAAGATATATAAATATCTCTGCTCTGAGATC